CAGCAACCTCCAACTCCTGGGCTTAAGCGATTCTCTTGCCTCAGCCTCCCAAGTAGCTGGGACTACAGGCACCTACCACAGCACCTGGCTATTTTTTTTTTATTGCAGCCATCATTGTTGTTTGGCAGGCCCGGGCTGGATTCAAACCCATCACCTTAGGTGTATGTGGCTGGCACCTTACCCACTTGAGCCACAGGCGCCGAGCCACAGATGTTAAGACATGCTTACATTCCTGGGATGACTATTCCTGGTCATGGTGCTTAAGATTTTTATTTGGACAGGTTGATTTTGCTATTATTATGTAGATGTTTGTTTGCATCTACAGAGATTGCTGGTCTGCACTTTTCTTTGAGTCTCTGTCTGCTGTTGGTTATCAAAATGGTACTAGCTTTATGGACTGAATTCCTTAGTTTTCTCCTGTTTTTTGGAAGAGTTAATGAATGATTGATGTTCTCCTACTTTAAACATTTGGTAGAATTTGCCAATGAACCCCTCTGTGCCTGAGCCTTTCTTCTTAGGAGGTTTTAAATTACTAATTTAATTTTTATTTTTTTTTGAGACAGAGTCTCACTATGTCACCCTCAATAGAGTGCTGTAGCATCACAGCTCACAGCAACCTCAAATTCTTGGGCTTAAGAAATTCTGTTGCCTCAGCTTCCAAGTAGCTGAGACTATAGGCACCCACCACAACACCCAGCTACTTTTTTTTTGTTGCACTTGTCATTGTTGTTTAGCAGGACCAGGCCAGACTGGAACCCGCCACTGTCAGTGTATGTGGCCAGCGCCCTACCCACTGAGCTACAGTGCTGCCCTAGTTTAATTTTTTGTTACACTTTTAATCAAATTTTCTACATCTCCTTGAGCTACTTGTAATATTTTGTGTGTTTCTAACTCATCTATCTTATCTAATTTTTTGGTACACAGTTTTTCATAGTGTCGTATAATTCTTATTTTTTTAATGTCACTGTTCAGAGAACATGAGAACAATCCTACTTTGTCTGATTCCTAAATTTTTAAGTTTTGTGATTCTGATTACCTGGTCTACCCTACAGGCTGTTCCATATGCACTTGAGATGAATATATAACGTGCTCTTGATGGAGAGACATTACCATTATTGTCTCTTGAGTCTCATCGCTCTGTAGGATAATCTGTCTTTTATATCTATATTATGTGCATTTCTACACATATCCATGTAGTTCCCATGTCTTATTTTTTGTATAAATTCCCATCTACATCTAGTATCATCTCTTTCTGCCTGAGGAGTCTCCCTTATTATTACTTACAGAGAGGGTCTGTAGGTCATCAACGCTGCAAGTATTTTTATGGTCCAAATAGTTTCCTTTTGCCTTCATTTTTGAAAGATATTTTTACTGAGTAAAAAGTGCGTGATTGACAGGTTTTTTTGTTTTTTGTTTGAAACAGAGTCTCACTATGTTGCCCTCAGTAGAGTGCCGTGGCATCACAGCAACCTCAAACTCTTGGGCTTAACCTATTCTCTTGCCTCAGTCTCCCAAGTAGCTGAGACTACAGGCACCCTCCATAACGCCCAGCTATTTTTTTTGTTATTGTTGTCATTGTTGTATAGCAGGCCTCGGCCAGTTTCAAACCCACCAGCCCTAGTGCATGTGGCTGGCACCCTAACCACTGAGTATGGGTGCTGAGCCAGGTTTTTTGGGGTTTTTTTTTCTAATTTTTGAGACAGTCTCACTCAGCCCAGGGGAGAGTGCTATGGCATCAGCCTAGCTCACAGCAACTTTAAACAAACTCCTGGGCTGAAGCAATTCTCCTGCCTTTACCTCCCAAGTATCTGGGATTTCAGGCGTGCCCACGGTACCTGGCTAATTTTTCTTCTTTTCTATTTTTAGTAGAGAAAATACCCTACTAAACTCTACTCTACTTACTCCTGCTCTGACTGGTCTTAAACTCCTGAACTCAAGAGATCCACCTGCCTCAGCTCCCAGAGTGCTAGGACTGCAAGTATGAGCCACCATATCCAGCCATTTTTTGGCTTTTTAAAAAATGTTGTTTTTGTTTGTTTGTTTTTGTTGTTGTTTTGCAATTTTTGGCTGGGGCTGGGTTTGAACCCACCACCTCTGGCATATGGGGCCAGTGCCTTACTCCTTTGAGCCACAGGCACCACCCCTTAAAAAATGTTTTGATGCAGAATAATTGTACATATTTCTTGGACATTTGTGATATTTTGATAAATTACTGCACTTTATAGTGATGAAATCAGAGTATTTAGAATATTTGTCATATCACTTCTTGGCCTTTTGGCTAAGATCAAGTGTAGAATATTTGTCACCTCAAACATGTATCATCTCTCTGTGCTAGGAATATTTCAAATAGTCCTCACTAATTTGAAGTATACAATAAATTATTCAGTATAATCACCCTACCGGGCTACGGAAAACTAGAAGTTCTTCCTTCTGTCTAACTGTGCATCTGTTCATCCTAAATTAAGACATGACTTTGGGTGCTCACTTCGGCAGCACACATACTAAAATTGGAACAATACAGAGAAGATTAGCATATACCCTGCACAAGGATGACGTGCAAATTCGTGAAGCATTCCATATTTTTCAGAGAGAGGGAAGGAAGGAGGAGGGTGGGGTCTGGGTGTGTGACACACCTCTTGGGGACAAGACACAATTGTAAGAGAGACTTTACCTAACAAATACAATCAGTGTAACCAGGTTTCTTGTACCCTCAATGTATCCCCAACAATTAAAAAAAAAAAAACCTAAAAAACAAAAAAAAGATGTGACTTTTGAGCTTCGGGCATCACATAGTCATTGCTCCTGAACCACAGTCTGAAAGGGGCAGGTTGGGTCCTCTACACCCAAAAGCATTCCCCAGTGGGGGAACAGCTGTGAGATGCCAGGGCTTCCCAGGCCATTGTATGGATGGGTGGGTGGGTAAGTCCTGAAACGGGTATTTGGGTGAATACCATAGTGCCGACTATGACAGTCTTCCCATCAGAACATCAGGAGCCATGAGAGCTGGGCTTGAGGTTTTCAGTTAAACATGAGCACTTCATAGGAACAATCCAGATTATACACATATGGGCCACAGAGTAGAGGCACTGGCTTTGATTTAGTCACTGTAGCCCCCTCTGAATGGCTTTCTATTCAAGTCATCTAAAGCTAAGTCACAACCTGGACCAGATAACACCAGGAAAGCCTACTTCGGCCAGCCCCAAATCCACCCCTGACCTAACCTGTGCAGAGTCTGCTAGAAGAGCTGGAGGGACGGGCAGCCTGGAGGTGTTAGATCCAGGTGACTTGGTCCAGTCCTGCTTGTCATGACTCTGTCCATAGTCCTGGAGCTGGAGCGAGAGGGTGACACCAACTGGAAAGCGGTTTGTGCCTCACTTCCCCTCTGCCTCTGTCACTGTGAGATAAGTACCACTGCTTTCACAGTAATAGCCTCATCCCCAGCCTGGGCCCCACTGATGGTTCCCTGGCTTGGAGCCAGAGAATTGCTCAAGGATCCCTGAGGGCCACAAGTTGTCATAATAGAAGACCAGCATGGGGGCCTGGCCCGGCTTCTGCTGGTACCAGTTTGTAACATAGGTTCTCATGATGTCTCCCTGGCAGGTGATCCTGGCCATCTGTCCCAAGGCCACAGACACTGCAGGTACCTGAGTCAGCTCAGAGGAGGCCACAGAGCCTGCACGAGAGGACAGGCCAGGTGAGTCTGAGGAAGAGGGTCTCATTCCCAGAGGGCCCCATGCTCTGCAGTATCCCCTTTCTGAGCTGAAGGTCAGGGCCAGGCTGACCCCTGGTGCTGTGGGGGCTGAACCTGGGTGCAGCACCTGTGCAGAGAGTGAGGAAGGGGAGCAGTAGACGGGTCTAGGCTATGGTGAGATCCTCAGGGCTCTGTCTCTGAGCCTGCAACAGGAGAGGGGGCCTCCTGGGCTCTCTTATCACAGGAATTGGAGTCTTTTGATGCAAATCTACTTCCCACCTTCTTGTGACTGGCTGGGCAGCTCCTCGGTGAGTTCTGTTCTCCATCCCCCAACGTGTCTGAGCCTTCTCTGAGCCCAGAGTCAGGATGGTGACTTCCTAAGCTCAGAAGGACAGGTGTGGGTCATGAGAGGAGAATGGATTTAATCCACAGGAAGGGACCAAAAAGAAGCATCAGTCATGCCCTGTGCACTTGAACTCTAGCTGGGACAGGGAGTTATCAGGGTTCTCAAAGAGAGGCCCACAGTGCCCCCTGGTGCCCACAGGAGGAATGCCATCCTATGTGCATCAGTGGTTCAAGCACAATGTATGCTTCTGAGACCTGATTCATACATATGCCAACCTTTTGTTGAGTGCTTACTTGCACCACCTCAAGAGCATATTATAGTAACGCCAAAGCATCTTGATGCTCAGGGTGCAATCTCCCCTCCAGTCTACTGAAGAAGGAACCAACATCAGGAGGTGATGTCACTTTTCCAAAGTCCACAGACAGCAGGAAATAGGGTCAAGACTCCTTCCAACAAGACTCAGCTCAGACCCTGACCATCCAGCCCCTACCTGACCGCCTCCCACCCAGAGACCCAAGTCATCCCTCCCGGGCCTTTTGGGTCCCTCTCATCACCACTCTCTCTTCTTTGCTCGGGTGGGCTCTCTGAGTTCTATGTTCAGTGGGGGAAGGCTCCCCTTGCTCCCTACACAGTAGGTGACAAAGGAGCATGTGTCAGTGATCCCACTGAGGACCTTCTGATTCCTGGTCATGCTCCTCATGCCAGGCTCCTCCTCTGATGAGTCAGGATCAGAATTCCACATCTAACAAGTCAAGACCATTTACTCTGGACAACACAGGTTTATAAAAGAGAGACTACAGGTTCAGTGCCACTATAGCACAGTGGTTATGGTGCTGGACACATACACCGAAGTTGGTGGGTTTGAACCTGGCCCGGGCCAGCTAAACAACTGCAACAAAAAAAATAGCCGGACATTGTGG